ATTATTAAATTAAATTAGTATATAAGATTATTAATATTACATATACTATCTTTACTAATTCTATATTAAATAAATTTTATGGTTTTTAAATCGTAGTGTATTCAGAGAGTCGTATATGCCCGAGATTGCAAACTTTTCACGCAACGGCACAAAGTAAAGGGATAAAAACACTTGATGAGTGTTTGCCAAAGACTTTGACTTGATACGTTCACTCTTCCTTTCTCTCTCATAAATCTCTCTCTCTCTCTCTCTCTCTCTATTTTTCTCTCTCTGTTCATCTCGCTCTATTACCAACTACCACAATATTATGTCTGCTGAATTTAATTAGAACTACTTCATCATTTATTTGATTTGTTTTTGTGTTTGCTTTTATCCTACGGTTTTTGAGCAGCTTTTCGCTTTTGACTGTCAGCTTCAGTTTTTGTTGTTTTATGGATTTAAATGCAGGTAGCAGCAGCAGCAGCAGCAGCAACTGGCAGCAGCAACTCAGCTGGCAGCACGCTGTGCTCAGGTAATTACCTGGGTATTTAAACTTTTCATATTTTTGCTGGTACAAAAGCATTTTCGATGCCTTTGAAAGTTAACAACATGCAACAGTTGTTGTTGCTGTTGTTGTTGTTGCTGCTGCTGCTGTGTTCTAGTTGTTGTTAGTAAATTTACATGCATTTCTCATAGGTTTTTTAGGTTTATATACGTAGATTTATGCCACTTGCCGCATGCCGCATGCCACATGCTGCATGCTCAGTTCCAGTTGCCGTTTGCTGCTGTTGTTGCTGCTGTTGTTGTTGTTGTTTTATATTTCATTTTACTTTCAACTGCAACACAAAAAGTGGCACATGTCGGCTGCACAGTTTGTAATCAAATGTAATGCAACATACACACACACACACACACGAACTCATAGAGAATTTATGAAAAAAATGAGAAAATGAGCAAACACTAGCTGCAGTCGCAGCTACTTCGTGTGGCATATATGAATAGCCCTGCTTAATGGCAAGTAAAAATATCAGATACCAAAATTTATTTCACCTGCCTTGCAGTGCCTTTGCTTTGCAACGCCCTGCCCCACCCTGCCTTGCCTTGCCTTGCCTTGTCGGGCCTCTGTCTCTGTCAGTTTCACTTGGAAAAGCAGACAACAAGAATTTTCACTTTTCTTCTTAGCAAGTTGTTGGCGTTGTTTAGCCCTTGGCAGACAACGCTGCAATGTTGCATGCCACATGCAAAAAAGCAACAGCTACAACAGCAACAACAGCAGCTGATTATTATTTGCCATTATTGTTATTGTCAATAATTTCAACTTGATTTGCCTTGATTGGCAGACACTTGAAAGTGCCAAGGGAGAATCAGGATTCACAAGCAGAAGCAATTTATTGTAACAATTGAGTGTATCATCGAGTGTCTGTCTATATACATATGTATGTATGTATATATATGTGTGTGTGTTTGCCAAGGCTTGTTGTGCATGCACAAAATTTTCGGCTTGCTTTTTATCAAACAATAGTTCAAGGTTGCATGTAAATAATGTCATTAGTTTGATATTTTACTGGGGGAGCGGCAGCAGCAGCAGCAGCGGCAGCGGCAGCTGGGGGGAAAACTTTATTTAATTTATTCTCAAGTGCATTGAAGTTCTACACAAAGGAATTTGAGCATGGAATTTAAATAACAAAAGCAAACTAAAGCAATAAACTGTATTGAAATGCAGCAAGAATTTAGCTGCAGTTTACATAGAATGCAGCGGGAAAAGGTAAAGTTGAGGAGGGGAATAAAACAAAGAGATGAGCTAGAATTTAGCTTCAATGGAGTTTAAAGAAAAAGCTAGAATTGAAGATGTATTATAAGTAGAATTTATAGGAATGTGAGTGTAAGAATAACTGGAATGTTAAGTAAAACTTGTCTTGAATATGTGTAGATAATAAAGCTAGAATATAGTATATATATAGTGTATAAACGGATTTGAAATAAAACTATAATAGAGTTCAAATAAGCCTCGCTATATAAAAGGAGAAATGTGAAATGACTGGAAGAATAGAATATGACAAATATAGCTAGAATATTTATAAAATATAACAACAATTTTATAGAAAGCCAAAGCAGTTTAAGCTGATTTCCCTCTTCCAATGAGTTAAGTCTTTATCAATTTGCTTTTAAAGAAATGTTGCAACTAAAATATAGCTAGAATATGGCTAAAATAAATATGGAATACAATCTCAGCTAGAACTTGGTTTGAAGCCTTAAGCTATGGCTTTTATTTCTATCAATGCATTAATGATCAAATGCACTTCTTGTTAATTGGAAATTTAAATGGGATTGTTTTTTTTAAATTACATCCTGTATATATCATCGTATTCCATTGTGAAAAAGTTTATATTCAATTTATTATAAACCAAAGAGAAACTTGGAGACAAAGTTTGGTTGAATCTTAAGTAGCTGTTAAAATTCCATTAAACTGAAATCTAATTAAAGTTTTTCTCTGCTTTTGTAATGTAATTTAATAGCCCAAGATATTTGACAAATGAATGGGCCAATTTAAGTTTTAGGGAACTAACTCTCTCCATTATTAAATGTAATGCTAAATAATTGCAAACTTTCATTCGATGAGTTCATATGTTATTCAACTTGGAGCCGTTGCTCATAATTTGCTTGCCAATTGCATTTCCTGTTCTGCTGCCCCAGTCCTAAGCAAGTTGATAAAAACAACATTTGAGCACGTGGCCATTGTTCATGGGGCTATTAAAAACTAAATGAAATTTTCATGCATGGCCACAAAACTAATTACAAACTGAAGTGTCAAGCAATTGAGGCAGAGTTTTGTAGTTGTAGCTGAAGTTGTAGTTGTAGTTGTTGTTGGTGTGGTAGTTGTAGTTGTAGCTGAAGTTGAAATGGAAGTGTTTGCCGGCCAAGAGGCCAGCCAAAAAGTTGACTGCAGCAAAAGCCCACACACATAGCCACACATACAGACACACATACACATGGCACTTATACGTAACTTGTAAGTGCCCCAGACGGAATAAAAAATGTGGCCTACCCCGAAAAAATGAAATAAAAAGTATATATAGAGCTAGTATGTTGGAAGTGCTAGACTAGAAAATACCCGTATAGAGGTTGAATTTTAAAGGAGCTGTATATGAAAGTAAGGAACTCTAAATACTTATAAAGAATAAATATTAATCGATTAATTTATTATCGATTGCATGCGGGCAAACACTCGAAGGAGGCTTTCTATGATCTACGAGCAAGAATATATATTGTATATATAATATATATTTTAAATATAGTATAAATTAAGCATACTATAAAACAAGAATATATATTGTATATATAATATATATAATATTATATAATATAGTATAAATTATATAAATATAGTATAAATTATGCACATATATTTCAGACGAAGAAATACATGGAAAAATATTTCAAAATATTTAGATGCGTTACAGTTAGATGGATGTTGCTATAGATCGATAGATAAGAAGATGTATATATATACAGGTAGAGAGGCACAGAACAGACAAAGAAAGAAAGAGAGAGAGATAGAGATGTAAATAGATAAAAGGCAAACAGTCAGACAGACAGAGAGACAGACAGACAGAGGGAGTGATACATACAGAAGGAGTCATATATTGACATATACAGTCAGAAGGGCTGACAGGCAGAAAGAGAGTGACAGGAGGAGAGAGAGGAAGATTGTGAGGAAAGAGGATAGACAGAAACAGAATAAAATATAAATATAGAGAGACCTAGAAAACGGTATGTAGGTTTGTCATCGACAATCAGCTCTAAATCTCTTGTCTGCAGTTAATCCTAGACAATAATTATATCAAAGCTTCTTGCTAGGCCACGTTAGCTGTTACATACAGCTTGAACGAAATCAATATACCCAGCTTACCCGCACATATGCAGTACGCTGCAGGGCATACAAAAAGGCCCAACGAACGAAACTAACGAAAGAAGTTTTTTCTTTTCTTTATATTTGTTTATTTCTTTGCTTTTTTTTCTTTTTTTGTGAAAAATGGCTGCAACATAAAAATTGACCTCAGCGACAAAGGCGGCGACTCGGTTGCTGTTAGATGTTCGTTTTATTTTTTTATGCTTAGCCGAAATAGTTGGAGACAGCCAGGCGCACAAACTAGAGACGACAAACACACTCACACATACACACACACACTGAAAAGTGGAGCAGCAATTGCAGAGTGGCTGCATTGCAAACTTGGACTCGCACCACTTGGACAAAGGAATTGAAATCGGCTGGGCAACTACGGCGAGAGCGCGTGTCTATGTTGTGTGTCTCTGTGTCTATGGCGGGGCAGACAAATTACAGTAGCCAGATTTCTCGTCTTTCCGATGTTGTTTTGCATTTTGCTAAAAAGTTAAAGCCATGCCACGCCTCCCCCGTGGCCCATGCCGGCCCGGCTGGCTGCCTACCTCGTGTTTTTTGCCTCATGCTGCTGCTGCTACACGCGCTGAACGTGTTTTTTGTGTTGCTGTTGTTGTTGTTGTTGTTGTTGTTGTTGCTGCTGTTGTGTTTTTTATGCCTCGCATGTTGTTTTGTATTTGCTGTTTTTTTTTTTTGCCTATCTGGTGCTGTGGCTGCTCTTCTACTGCTTTTTCAAATGCTCTAAAGAATGTGGTTTACTTTTTGGATGAGTTAACAAGCGATTCGTAGTACGTGTTGCTGCTGTTGTTGTTGCAGTTGCTTGTACATACATGATTTTGAGTCTAATTTGAGCGTTTGCCAGCAGCACAGATTTGTCATAGAAAGTGCGTGTGTGTGTGCGTGTGTGTTTGGGAGTGCTCGAAATAGCTCATAGATCAGCTTCGAGTGATAGTTTAAGTCAACAACTGACGTGACAAATTGTGCTTAATTTTAAAGCCTAAGAATGCAAATATATATATATATATATATGCATATTTTTAAATCAATTTTAAGTGCTTCTTTTATGTTTTGTTTTAGCACAAATTACTAATAAATTCCGTTTATATTTTTTGTGCCATTTTAGCTAACAGCTGAGCAGAAGTCAAGCTTTGCAAATTTTACAGGTAAGCTGGAAATTATTTACCTATGCTTGAATAGCTTTTTAAATACATATATATTATATATACATGAGCAGGAGCTGGGCGTCTGCTGCAAATAGTTTAACTGCTGTTGACTCTGGCCATAAATCAGCTCTGCTGGCAGTTTGTCATTTCGGTATGCAGCTAGAGAATCTTTTAACTGTGCAATGAATGTGTGCACAACAAACAACAAACAAAAAACAGAAGCTGTGCCATAAATAAGCGAACTGCAAGTTGAGCTGAGGCTACATTCAGCTTTTATGAAGTCTAACTGAGTCGAGCTACTGTTGCATTTTTCTAATGGTGCTTAATTTTGACTAGAGATCAAATTTAAGTTATATAGTGGAATAGAAGTAGTTCTATTCATATTTATCAGAATAATTAAAATAGCAATGAGTCTATTCATATTTATTAGAAATAAAAGTAGATTTAATTATATTTTAATTGAACTATTCATATTTATTAGAAATGGAAATAGATCCATTTATATTTATTATATTAAATTTATATTCATATTTACCAGAAATTGAAATAGGAAATAGGTTTATCAGAATATTTCAAATCAAAATGGGTCCATTCATATTTATCAGAAATAGGTCTACTTATATTTTTCATATTATATTTATATTCATATTTATCAGAAATAGAAATAGGAAATAAGTTTATCAGAATATTTAAAATTAAATTGATCAGAAATTGAATTAGAAATAGGTTTATCAGAATTTTTCAAATATAAATGGATATATACATATATATCATAATGTTTAAAATAAAAGTAGGACTTTTCATATTTATATTTTCATTTTCCAATTTCAATTTATTTTTCATTTTGCAAAATTTTTCCCTTGGAAATTGTACTTACATACGTATATGGCGGGTTTTTAAGTAGAAGGCATAAAAACTGATTTTCTTTTTCTTACAACTAAACTTCACTTTATATAAACATAAATTTTAAACCTATCGGTAAATATGGCAGCCCTGGGTTTCGTCACAATCTTTAAGGCAGCTAATATAAGTTCTTAGCTAAATCAATAAACATGTTTTGTAAGCTCTTATCAGTTTGTTTTCTTAAGGGATTACTAAGTCTAAAAATAGAACTAACAGCAGATTTCATAGCTTTTATTGTTAAGCTTAGCAGTCCTAAAGCTTCAATTGATTGAAGCAATAATAGACTCCCATTGAAAATGGCAATGCAGTTTATATAAAGCCATTGTGAAAATGTATGTAAAAGGCAGGGCATACAATTTAAAGTATATATCTAATATTATTGTTGAACAAAAGAATAAACTGAATTCATCTAGAATGTTGGTCCCTACGTCTCCGCTCTTTCAGGTTGTGTCTTGTACAACTTTGCAGCTATGAAGCATAGATTGATTTAAGCTATTTTATACAGTATACTGACTAAACATGGGAATATAGAGTTTATATTATAGTATAGTACATTAGAGAGACAGAGGAAGATTTTCATCTATCACTAATCAAAATTACTTTTACTTTCTCTTAGCTTTTTCATAGCCTTGACTTAATCAATAATAAACTTATATTAATTAAAACTCGAATCAACAAATTTATAGAAGCATAAGCAAACGTGCTTAATTTGCTGTAGTTAGTCTAGGCTATTGTAGCCCTCGGAAAATATATTTATAGAAAATTATTAAATTAATATGCATTACATTATACAAGCAAATATGTTAATTTTCCATGACAAACATTTATAGCAAATTGATTGAAGTTGGCATTCCAGTGAAATGTAGCATTTGTAATTATTTGGCCTTTATGTTAAACTCATTTGTGTGCACTTGACATTACATATACATATATGTACGTGCATATGTATGTGTGTCTATACCTTAAGACTGACTTGTTTACTTATTCATATTTCAGCGCCAGAAATTCTATATCTCCGAGCAGCTGTAAATTGCCAAGCACACACACACACACACACACCCATGCACATATTTCAATTCCCAAATATAAACATGGCTATAATATAGAACTTCCGCATTTATAGTGGGGACACACAAGCTGCTTGGCTTCATGTGTCAGTTCACAATAGATTTATGCCGCTGGTTATTGTGACTTGCAGTTGACATAGAGCTATGTATAACCACTGATATATGTACATATATGCATAAACATGTGTGTGTGTGTGTGTGTGTTTGCTGTACTACATCTAAAGTACAGCACTTAGTTGTGCAGACCGCAATTTTGGTCACATCTGCAATTTGCTGTCAGCTACGATGTATAGCTATGACTAAAAATATATATAGATAGATAGATAGAAATATATGAGTCTCTGCATAAGTGCCACAAAATTTCGCTTGAGCCTGTGCCAAATGTGTCAATTCATTGGCAAGCAACAGCCAAAGCCAAAGCCGAAGCCAAGTGCTAAACGTCTTAGCTTAATGGCGGCAGCTCTGCATGTGTGTGTGTGTGGTTGTCACGTGTGTTAATGAGGCCTAGTTCTGTGATCATAAGCAGTTTATAAAATATGAATGTAAATGCGCTCACTTTTCTTTAATAGCTTTCTTTAATAGTTTTTTTTTTTTTTTTTTTTGCCACATTTTGAGTTGAGTCATAAACGAGCAGCCTATTGAAATTGCGGCCTAAACTCTGTAGTTTTGCTGCGTAGTGTATTCTAGCTCTTCCTGCTTGATGACGCACTTTAATTTCGGTTTTATATTTCCTCTGTTTCGGGGCGTGTCCTCATTTGCCGCTGACATTTGTCGCACGACGGGCTGTTCGGGCCATGGCCCACGCGCCTCAAATTTATTACCAACTGCTGCTGCTGCTGCTGCCGCTAAGCGATTCGCTGATGTTGATGCTGATGCTGATGTTGGCTTATTTATGGTGCTGCTGCGTGGGCGGCTGCGGATTCGTTGAATGTTTCTACCAACAACAGTTTTATCTTTCTTTTTAATTTTTTCCCTTTTCACATTTTATTTTTTTGTTTTTGTTTTTTTTTTTTTTTGCTTTTTTCCCGGCAGCAAACGGTTGCAAATTGCGCTGTCTGCGGCGACATTTCACTCTAATGCTGTAAAGTGAAATTAGTTGGCTTCATAATTATTTATGTAGCTCTTTTTTCTTGACGTTATACTCGTTCGGGCTGTGATGCAGAGAGCGGGTATATTGGCTTTTGAAGAATGTGGGAGATGGCTGTTTGACTGTTGCTTGAGACATGTTGTTGATTAAGACATGAAAACTTGGGCTTAGTTAAATGATATGATTTTTATATTAAACATTCAGAAATTAACTAATAATAAAAATATTAATGAAAATATTTATAATAATATATATGTTATATAAAACATAATAATCATTTAATAAATTATTAGGATTTATAATATAAGCGTTTTTACTTAGACCACTCAGATATGAACATATATAAAAAAAAAATAAATAAATAAATAAATAAAAAAAAATTAATATTTAACAAAGTATTATATCCATAAAACATATTATATCTGGAATTTCTGGAGCAAAATGTTAAAGCTGAAAATATATCGCTAGGTTAATTGCTTGTTCTATGTATTATAAGAATGAATATTGAAAAATTAATATTTAATAAATAGATTAATTATTATATACAAATTTATCTAATTTACAAATATTCATTCTCTTAATCTATCAATATATCAATATAGCAATCTATTAATCTATCAATTAATTTATATATTGCTATATAGACGGTTTGATAGATTGATAGTGTGACAGTTACAAAAAATCTAATTATTACTAAATTGATATATAGATTGAATTTGTTAACTAACTATAATTAGGCTCTCTAAAATACTTATTTAGTTATTTCTCGACAACAAACGAGCATTACTCAGTTGCATACGCCCGCCTCCTCCCACTTCATCTAATTTAATTCAGCTTTTTAGCTAATTTCTCAAGTAGCGCCAATAAATTCTGGCAGCAGTTTTGCTTTGTGGCGTGTTACGGTAGCATTTGACACCAATTGTTGTTGCTGTTGTTGTTGGTGCTGTAATTGCACGCTATTGTTACGACTGCTGCTGCTGCTGCTGCTGTTGCTGCTGCTGTGGCACGTCATTCAAATGGCAGACAGCCAACGAACTTCGTGTTCAAGTGTTTGGCTGTGAAGTTTAAGTTTTTTTTAGCACTTGAGCTGCATTTCGTTAGGCTGTCAGGCGAAGGTCAAAATGCTGCTGTTTATTGTTGCTGCTGCTGCTGTTGCTATTGTTGTTGTTGTTGTTGCAATCGTTGTCCATCCACCTGCACTGCAGTTTGTCAAGTGCCTGAATCAGCTCACCCCACACACACACACACACACACACACACTCACTCAAATTAATTGTAGCAAATTATGAATAGCTGACTGAAAGCGCTTCAATTGACCGGGTCTAGAAGCACAACAGCAACAACAACAACAAAAACAACTGCTGCCCACTTGGCTGGTCAATGCCGTCGTTTGTTGCTTTTGTTTGTCTATTGCCTTTTTTTTAGTGTTTTACTGAGGTTTTTTGGTTTTTGTTTTTTTTTTTTTTTTTTTGTTTTGTGTTTTTGGCTTGGCCCGCAGTTAAAACAAAGCTAACGGTACACATTTGTATTTCGTATTTGCTTTTGCGCTGTGGTTTTTAACGAGATTTCGTGATGTTTTGATTCCAACTGGCAACTGGAGCGAGCGCACACACAGGTAAACAAATACACACACGCGGCCAGCACTTGTAAGCAGAGCTATAATGCTTTGGAGATATATGTAGTTTCGAACAGATGTAGGTATGTTTATAGATAAATAGCTACATATGCATAGATATAAGTAGATAATGTACATAGATGTAGGCATGGCAAAAGATATGTCAATGTAGATATATGTAGATATAGATACAGATATAAATACAGATACAGATACAGATACAGATACAGATACAGATACAGATACAGATACAGATACAGATACAGATACAGATACAGATACAGATACAGATACAGATACAGATACAGATACAGATACAGATACAGAT